ACAAAGTACCACGTACTCTCCCCCCCCCCCCCCCCCCCCCAACAAAACCCCCAACCCCACACCCTTTTTAACTGTTTTTCGAGGGGATGAGATAACCAAATGCCTATTATATTGTCATGAAGATTGGAGTAGCTGATCCTTGTATGGATATTAATCGATTTTATGACTTCCTTTCTTTCTTGTATTTGAGAAATAGATTTGAAATCCATATAGTAACTGTAACTTGTTGTTAGATAGTAGAGGTTAACAATAGGATGTCTTGCCAGATTGCTCTTGTCTAGACTATGCTGCCAATCAAGGCCCAGCTTCTAGGGCTTCATGCTCTCTAACAAAAGAATCCCAATTATCAATGAATTGGTACGACAGACGAATGCCTTGATCTTCATATTGAAGTGAAGCCATGTCATTTAGGTCGTTACAATTTTGTGGAATTCATGAAATTTGATACTAGTATATATTGTATGCTGTAAGTAACGAGAGCAAAATTCAACGAATTCTATACAATGGTTTTTTTCATCTCTTTTATAACATGTTTAAAAAGCATAAAAGAGAGCGTTGGTTACACTCGTTGACCAATATATTTCTTGCCTGTTTTTGCTGCAGTTGAGAAACCTAAGAATAGCCCTGTTTGCAAATATAGAGGCTAAGAAATATGACCTCAGATTCATCGCTTGAAATAGAACAAATTGATGAAGAACATAATGAATCATAACTTCGTAATGCAGCTAAAAGAAAAGCTCTAACTTAGCAGCTTTGAGATCTAAGACAACAATCATTTGATATAACTTGCAAGTCCAGCACAGTTTTTGTTTTCTTTTTGAATTTGATAGACTCATCAATTATAAGGAATATTCGCTTGAAGCTGGCCAAAAAAAGAAACTGTTGGTATTTAAGTGGAGAAGGATTAAGATGTGGGCTAATTATCTAACGAGTTTTTGAACCGTGCACCACCAGCTTACACGAATTTCTTGACTAACCCCCCCCCCCCCCACCCCCCACCCCCCACACACACACAAAATATGAAGAGAATTGTAACGTGCAAATTCAGGGGCTCAACGCTCTTCTCGGCAGCACTGTATGCAGAGAGGTGGCTGCTTTGTGATATCACAATAACAACAGGCTATGTCGCAGTTGTTGTTACAACCTATTCGAAAGAAAAGTGTGACAAGATTGTTAGTTCTTCTCCTGATTATATGGAGATAAAGGCTATGTTTGCTCAGACTCTTCAAAAATACAGTGGGGTGTCTCGGATCTTTCAATAGCAGTGCATTTTTGAGGATCCGAGACGCTGCAACAATTTTTGAAGAGTCAGAGCAACATAGGACAAATGTTAAGTGGAAAGGGGTAAAAGAAATGGATTGTTTTTGGTAACCTGTTACTGTTATGTATTGAGATGATGATTCCACAGTTTTAGGATTTATGAGAAATGGAAGGCGAGTGCTTGTTCCAACTTTACTCATATTCTGAATGACCACCATAGACACCAGAAAGCTAGCTACTACCACCGACAACTTCATTCTCTGTCTTCTTTCACGGTTTCACCACAACACAGCATGTGTTTATTAGTTTTTGCTTAGGTTTTTTTTCTCATTACAGCTAGGTGGGGTTATATAGGACTAGGATCTCTATATTAATATTCTAGTTTAGGTGTTTGAGCAAACCTCGTGAAGATAAAAACTATATCGTTAATAGTTATCTAGGAGATCATCAGAATATTGTGCAAATATAAGAATTACCTTGTACTAGTTTGAATATTCCATCAAATTTTTAATCAAATCGTCACACTTCACACATGAGGAACTGTAATTTTCGGAGTATGGTAAGCTTTTATTGAAAAATATTTCACGATGAAATCATTTCCAGCTGTTCCATCAATATGTACCTTCTCATAAAAAAGTTCAGTTTTTTTTTTGGTTAAGCGGATGCATATTATAACTAAAACAAACTATCCGTCAGGGTGTACAAAATGAGTGTTTATGGGTGGGTACATGAGACCCCCCTCTACCGGGCTATTGTTAGTAGTATTACAATCTATTGTTTTCCTTTCAAACACAGTTCCTGCGATGTCTGCCCAAAGTACATGATTGACAAACACAGGAGGAACTGACGTTACAAGAATATCTTCAAATTTTTTTTTCCTTGTGCCTTCCTTCGCCAGCATGTCAGCAACTTTGTTGGTCTCCCTGCACACCACCACGGCTCCTAGTCTTTGGACGATTGACCTGCATTCACAAATAAGTGAGTCAAAATGTAGGTTTCCATTGATTAGCATTCTAATTACCTCTGTTGAATCAGTGTTTATTTCCAAAGGTGTGAGCTGTCTTTCTTCTGCTATTTGCAGTCCTTTTAGGAGTGCTAGTAATTCTGCTTGGGTGTTAGTGGTGTATTGGATTGAGCCCATGTAGCCCAAAATTCAGTTTCCACTTGTATTTCTGAAGACTCCTCCCAGCCCTCCCCTTCCAGGATTCCCAGTTGCAGCTCCATCAGTGTTAAGCTTATAGGAGTTGTTATTTGGTGGTTCCCATTTTACCCTGAGAACCTTTTTGTTTATGGTTTCTTTATCCAGCATCATTGTAACATATTCGGTGGCCTTAGCAATTGCACATTTTGAATCTGCCCTGTTTTTTTAATTATTGAAAAGGTTGTTATTCCTTGTTAGCCATATTTGCCAAAAACAGAAAGGGAGGAGCTCTTCCCAAGTAATGATGCTGTTAAAAGCTTTTTTTCTTAAGAGACATCCAAGTGGTTGGCCAATCTCTGGTGGTGAAAGTAGGAACAGGAGCATTGGTTTCCCTTGTGTTAGGGGAGATGATGTCTTGCCAGAAGATTTTTGAATTAGTACATTCAAAGAAAATATGTGCTGATATTTCATTTGCCTGGCTGCACAGATGGCATATGGGGTCTGTTTGTACCCCAACATGGTGGAGATAGGCTCCAGTGGGTAGCCTTTCATGGAAAAGTAACCAGAAGAAGGATTGGATTTTTTTGGGAACTTTCAGTTTTCAAATCCATGTAAAATTATGGGTCATGGTTTCCTGCCCTTGGTCCAATATTGAGTAGGCAAATTTTGTGGAGTAAAGACCATTTGGTGTGGCTCCCCAGATCATTCTATCTTCCTTGACTGGGTCGGGTGGAATGAAGGTGTTATAGATGGAATTTTGAATATTTTGGGGGATGGTGATAGAGAGAGTGGAGAGATCCCAAGTTCCGTTTTGGTGAGTATTTGCAACTGTTATTGACAAGTCTTCTCTTGTCAGAGGACCATGAATTAGGGACCTTATAGCAGGGAGGTTGTTTATCCAAGGGTCATTGAAAAAGCTAACTCTATTCCCTGAATGCACTACCCATCTTTTTGCTTTCATGCATGTTTCCCATCCTTTTAGGATGTATTGCCAGGTGTGGGACTTAGCTTTTTTGGGAGGTTTCCTCCAATTGCAGTGTTTTGCAATTAGAGTTTTTGCCCAAAGAGTTGTGGGATTCTGGTATAGCCTCCAAGCAAGGCCTGAGTGCTGGGCTTTATTTTTCAACTCAGCTTTCTGGATTCCCAGCCCCCCTTATCCTTAGACTTTGTGACTGTATCCCAAGAAACCAAGTGCATTTTTTTAGTGGCAGTAGTGCCCCAGATGAAGTTCCTCTGAACTTTATCAATCTCTTTGGTTATTTTTGCTGGCAGCTTGATGTATTGCATGACATGATTTGGGATTGAGTTTAGGGATGCTTTTGCCAGTGTGGTCCTCCCAGTAATGTTAAGCATGCTTGTTTTCCACCCAGCCATTTTTGAGTGGAGATTGTCAATAATGAACTGAAAGTTAATATGAGTGGGTCTTTTGTAGAAGATTGGGAACCCAGATACTTTCCAAAGTTTATTGAGGCTTTCATGGAGAGGGTGTTTGAAATGAGCTCCATTTGATGAGGTTGGCAGTTAGCACTGAAGCATACTTTTGACTTAGTGAGATTGATCTTTTGGCCAGATACCAGATTGAAAGAATTGAGAGGATTGATGAGTGTATTGCAACTAGATTGGTTAGCTGTTGCAAAAAGAGTTAGATCATCAGCAAAGAAGAGATGAGATATTTTCGGGCCACTTCTGCTGATGCTGATGGGGTGCCATTCCCCCTGAAGGACATTATTGTCTATGTCTCTGGAAAGTCTTTCCATACACATTATGAACAGGTAGGGGGATAGGGGATCTCCCTGCCTAATGCCCCTTGTGGGCATGAAAGGTGTGGTTTGCTCTCCATTGACAATTACAGAGATTGTGGAGGAGCTTACACATGACATGATGAGGTTGATGATTGTGTTTGGGAATTTGAAGGCATGAAGGGTTTGCTTAATGAAAGGCCATTCTAATCTGTCAAAAGCCTTCTCCAGGTCAATCTTTAGTATCATGCTACCTGATTTTCCCCTCATTTTCCCAAAGTGGGAGATGTATTCTTGGACTATGATGGCATTGTCTGAAGCTTTTCTGTTAGAGAGGAAGCTGGCCTGACTAGGCCCAATGATTTGTGGGAGGTAAGGCTTGATTCTATTGACAATGATTTTTGTTACTGTCTTGTAGACAGTATTACATAAGCCTATGGGTCTGAAATTTTTGATCATTGTGGCTTGAGGGCATTTTGGAATGAGGCACAGAAGGGTTTCATTCATGACTGGGTCCATAGTTGATGTGGAGAAACAATTTTTGCAGAAGTGGATGACATCCTTACCCACTATGTCCCAGTATTTTTGGTAGAAGAAAAGGTGAAGGCCATCTGGCCCAGTAGCTTTGAAAGGCTTGAAAGAGAAAATGGCATTCTTAATTTCACTATTTCTTGGAGGCATCCCAATTGTTATTTGTTGAATCTGAGAGAGGCAATGACCCTAAATTTCAGTGGAGGATTATCCATTCTGAGACTGGGGGAGGGAGGAGGTATAGAGTTCTTTGAAGAACTTTGAGATTGCTTGCTTGATCTCCCCATCCTCCAGCATCCACTGACCAGAGTCATTTTGGAGGGAAAGGATTTTATTCCTTCTTCTTCTATCTAAAGTGGAGGTATGGAAGAATTTTGTGTTGGCATCTCCATCTGAGAGCCATTGGATTCTGGACTTCATCTTCCAAAAGTCCTCTTCATTTTTCAAGATAGAGTTGAGCTCCTCAATAAGATTGCTTTCAAGGATTTGCATTGAGGTGCTGGTGGGATAGATGGAGGATTTCTGGATTCCTACTATTCTTGCTAGCAGCCTCTTTTTTTTGTGGAAGATGTTCCCAAATGTATGCCTATTCCAATTGAGAGCATTAAGCTTGAACAAGGTGGTGGAAGGGATGACTAGAGTCAGGCTTGAAAGAATCCCTAACTAGGTTTTGAAATAGAGGGTGGCTGTACCACATTGATTCAAACCTGAAGGGTTTATTTAGAGGACTAGGACTGTTATTGCTTAGATTGACAAGCATGGGGCAGTGATCAGACTGGGTCCTGGGTAGGTGAGTTATATTTGCTTCTGGGTACTCATTTATCCAATGGTTATTTGCAAGACATCTGTCAATTCTTTCTAGTATCAGATAGGTTCTATTTTTGTACCTCTTGTTAGACCAAGTATACTTACTACCTTTAAACCCTAGGTCTATAAGTTGACAGTTGTTAATACAATTCCAGAAAGAGTTGCTTCTGTGGGTGTTTATAGGGTTTCCCCCAAATTTGTCTTCTGCTTTAAGGACTTCATTGAAGTCCCCACCACAAACCAACTTCCTCTGCATGTTTTGGAGATATCAACTAGACTATCCCAGAGTCTCCTTCCATCCTCAATGTGGTTACTGGCATAGATTGCAGAAAAAAACCAGGGTGGGTTTGAGGGTAATACCTTGACCATGGCATGGATACCCTGAGAGTTGACAGCTACCTCATCAACTTGGAGGGAAGTATCCCTCCACATAATCACTATACTTCCAGAGTGGCCAACAGCAGGGAACTGAATGTGCATGTCGAATTGTAGCTCCTCAGTAAGCTTTTTGTGGTCTGCCATTTTAGTCTCCAGGAGAACCAACATCATAGGCTTATGCATTTTGACCATTTCTGAGCAGTGCCTCTTAAACTCCGCACTGTTTGCCCCTTTAACATTTCATATTATGAAATTCATTAGAGGGTTCAGTGTTGGAGGGCTGGTGCTCGTTGATGCTTTCTCCCTGCCCTGGGGTTGCATCACATCTCTTCCCCTCTGTTGAGATTGTTGGGATCTCATCACTGGGATTAGGGTCAGAAGGGGTTTGAGAGTACCTTGGTTCAGGTGAGATGAGAAGTCCATTCCGCAACGAACTAGGCTCTTTGGGCAAAGTAGGATCAATGTCTCGCTGTGTTCCACGCTGAATTCCACAGCCCTTATTGCTTCCAACCATAGTGATTCCACTCTCACTAAGTTGTCGATTTCGTGGTCCACTGGCACCTCGTTGTTCCTCAGTAGCTCCAGAGCTGTTGAAATTCCTTTGGAGATGTTCCCCAGAGGCGATTGATGTTGCTTCTCTTGTGGTGATTGTTGTTGCTTCTCCTGCACTGAAGGTGAAGTTTTCTGGGGCGACTCCGGTTGGAGTATTGTGAACTGGGGGGTTGCATAGGGATCCTGTACTGCTGGGTCTGGGAAAAACGGGATACTGTTGAAAATCTGCTGAATCCTGTCCTGGATAGATGGATCGTTGTTGTGGTGCGTGTTGGCTGGGTGGGTCTGCTCCATGACTGACTGCCACATTTGTGCTCCAAGCATCCCCAAGCCCCTATTTAAGGCTTTTGCTATTACCCTTGCCAGATGGGCTGGGTTCTGTATGATTAGAGAGATCGGTTGGTCGCCCAGGTGAAAATTGTAGCTTAGGGCTTGACCACGGAGTGCCAGCTCCAGCCATGATGCTGGTGGGTGGTCCGGTGGTGGCGGGATGGAGGTTAAGAAGATTGGGGGTTTGGGATTTGGTTCCATTTTTGGGTTTCTTGTTCCTATCCGTTTTTGGGTTGGTAATAAAAGGTGATGTATTGGGGTAATCTAACGTTTCTGGCGGTTGTGAAGTTGGATCGATAGGCATGCTTATTGTTTTGGGGTTTGTGTCTGATACACTGGGAATGTGATTATTTTGATATCCGGTTGAGTTGATGGGTTCTGTCAAATCACTGAAGATTTCGTGATTGTACAACTTTGGCTCTTGGTCTTTCATGGAGGGATTTCCTCCAGTTGGTGTTGGTAGGGGAGACGTAGTGTTGTTGTGGTTATCATTGTGGTCTACCATGAGGTCTATTTTCCCAGAGGTGATGGGTGACCCAGTCTGCCTTTTTTGATTTTCATCTTGGCTTTTGGGCTTGGTTGACTTTGGATGTGGGGTAGTGTCCTTTTGGTTTGGGTTACTGACTATGGGGTCTATCGTTGCTTTTGTTTGTGTCGTGGGCCCATGTCTGTAATTTATGTGCATTTGGGTATTCCCCGGGTCCGCTTTTCGTTTGGCACTTGTGTTGGGCCTTTCTCCTGTGGGCTGCCCGGTTGCATTTTATTGTCCAATTTGTTGTCCCTTTGAGGTAGTGGGTTGGATCCGGTCCATCTCCTGTAACGTGTTAGATTTATTGGTGTATCGGAAAGTTTGAGTACCAAGGAACTTACCGGATGTAGCGTCGAACATTTTCACTTTGTTGCCTTCTGGCTTTGTTGATTGTGTATCTTTTCTCTTCTTGTCCGTTGCTTCATTTTGCTTTGTGCTGTACTCTTTTTTACGTTTTCTTGGGAATGAGACCACTTTCCGTTCTTCTTCTTGCTCATTGTTTGGAGTATGGCCTAAAACATCGCTTTGCTTAGTATTTGAACACTCTGGGCTTTCTTGCATTTGTGGTTGTCGTTGTTTTTGTCTGTGCATGCATCCTTTCAAGATGTGCCCTATCCTTCCACAACCAGTGCATAGTACATTTTCCCCTTCATAGATCACCAATTGTTTATGATCCCCTATTGTGACTGAGGTAGCAACTGGTGTTTCCAAGGGTACCTATGCATATCCGTGCATATCTTCCTCTGAGAGTGGCTGAAGTGCACGTATCAACTTTTAGGAGTTTCCCTAGTTTCCTGCCCACTTTTTCCAGGACTTCCTTGTCATAGAACTCGGTGGGTAGTTGTGGCAGTCTTACCCAAATTGCAGTGAAGGATAGAGTCGCTTCTTGTGGGACAAATTTGTGTTCCCATCTTCTTACTGAGAGGAAATTTCCTGATATGAACCATAGTCCTTTTTGTATAGCCTTCACTAGGTTCTCCTCTTTACCAAATTTGACTATGAAAAAATCCCATCCTAGGTCGATCAAGATCAACTGTTCGGATGGGTTCCATAAATCAACTAATTTAGATCGGAGGAGATAGTGTGGCATTTTTTTCCCAAAGAGTTTTATGATAATTGAGAAACGCCATGGTTCATATAGCCTGTTTTTGTCCTCTTGAGAGAGTATTATAGGACCTATTGTTTCCTTGCCTTGTTGTTGCGTTAGGGTGGATTGGAGTTCTGCAGCGAAGTAATTCGCTTGTGCAGTATTTTGCTTGTCAAGTAGTATTTCCTTGTAGGAGTGGGATTGGGTTGCGTTTTCTTCCATGACAATGTCGTCCGGTGGTATGTTAGGTGATTTGGGTGGGTTTTCCATTGGTTGTTTGTAGTGATGGATGAGAGTTTCTCTCTCTTAGTGGAGGTGGCTTAAAATTATCCCTAAGTTCAGGTTTTTTATTAATAGAAAATACGTCCAAAGAATAATATTTTGAAGAAGGTGGAAAAATGACTTAATTTCGGTTATGGGCGGAAGTCATTACAAATAGTCCAAACTCTTACTCCATATCACTTGCTTTTATCAACATTATCTTTAAATCTCAAGGTAAAACCTTTTCTTGGGAGAACTTCCTATGGGATATATTTTGTCCAATTTGGCTTCAGAAATAAACATAATCGAATGCAAGAGTATGTCTCTTTTCCTGCCAATAAGTAGGTTAAGAGAGTTAGGTTCCTACATCCCGTCTGCAAAGCCAAAGAAGAAAAGAAACACTCTCAATTCCTGCATCCAAAGTAACGAGCACACAAATGATGGCATTGTAGCAACTAATGTCTAATCAACTTCATAACGCTACAATCAACAAGAAATTAAAGATCCTCGATATAAGTTGAATTGCATCAACATCATACAGATCCAAGTATGACAACTACCTAACACCACATCGGCAAAAGAGATAATGCTCATCTAAACTTTGAACATCGACAAGGAAAAACAAAGGGATATCCCAAACAACCATCCTTGAAAAAACATAGCCATATGTATACAAAACTTATAAAAGGAAACACACACATATTTCATGCATTAGGAGCAAACTTAGGTCTGAACCTTTACTTGTCTGGTCAATTTCTGATGATCAAGATTTTGTTTCTATAACGTGGCAAAAAGTAGTGGTCTGATACAATTTCGCTGCTTCCCAACTGTCCTCATTTTTTAAATTAAGAACAGTATATATATACATATACAGCTGTTAACTAACTAGTTTACTTCGAGCTTGGAAGGAGGGAGTGTTTCTTTCTCTCTGTGAATTTTTCTGATTGCGCTACTAACAGACCTAAGTAGGATCAACGACATCGTTTTGATCAAATGAGAGATATTTGAGGACTGTATAGTAACAAAAATAGGTTATTATGCTAGGAAAAAAATGAGAAAACTCAGAAATCACCTGAATATTTGATGGTTTACACTTTTTTTTATAACAAAAAATTATTGGTTCGCCTAGCCGGCGCATGGGGATGGCAATGAGGCGGTGCGGGTGCGGGTTTAAATACATTCAGGGCGGTCCGGGTTTAAACATATGCAGGTGCGAGCGGGCGGGACGGGTCAAAATAAAAGAAAAAAAGTTAAAAACTGTGCGGGTATAGTGCAGGTGCAGGTTTAGAAACTTCATTGAAGAAGGAAACTCAATTTTCTGCCTTAATGAAGATGAAATTGATTCCACATAATATGTTGAAGCAAAGTAAAGTTTCATGTTATTTGAACCAAATGCTTGCACGTCATCTTATTCTGAAAATGTAACATCCAAAAATTACATATCAAGATCGCCTTCCAGAGGATTAGAGAAGTGGCTTATTTATACATTCCAGTGGCTTAAGAATTATTCCAGTGGATTAGCTTGAATATGATAAAAATAATATATATTCTATTATCAAATATAAAAAGTTAAAAAGTAAAGAGTTATTATCATATCAAAGTTTTTGTTAAGTAACTTTTATTAAATATGTGCAAGATTTAATTCCCGTAAGTATCTTATCTTCTTCTTTCCTTAGCTGAAGCCTCCCGTAATCTTTAAAATTAATAAAAAATATGAGTAGATATCATAAATGTATAAAAAAATTCCAGCCAAAAGATTAAAAAATAAATAAACTAACAAAATGAAGGGAAAAAAAGTTAAGCGGGGCGGGGCGGGTGAACGCGGGTGTGGATGCGGAGCGGGTGAACGCGGCTGCATTTGCTATGCGGGGCGGGGCGAAGCGAAGCGAGTTGAAATTTTGCGGTTAACAGAAAACTCGCCCCGCACACGCACCTAACGGCGCATTAGATGTCATGACGGTCATTGGTGTGGTTTGGATCGTGACAGCTTGATATGAGAGACTAGATTGCATATGTCTCACGCAGAGGCAGACCTAGGATTTAGAGGTAGCGGGTGCAAATTTGCATTCAACCAAAATTTGCTTTGTATATAGGGTGTCACTACTAATATTACTATTTTTTAACAACATATACATGTATATATAGAATTTTATCGAACTTTACGGGTGCCAGTGAGCCCTCATTGTATAAGGTATGTCCGTCTCTGGTCTAACGAATCATGAACATATCTAATAGAGTCTTGCGGGTCGGTATAAAGACGTCACAATTAGGATACTTCACTTTCTTTCTTTCTCTATCGTGCAACTTTGAACTCTAACAACACTGTATCTTAAATGATCTTTGACTTTAACACTAGCCTTTTAGAGACAAAAGAGACCAATTGTGAGGAATAGCCATTCTAGAACAATCATTTAATTTGGTTCATCCTTTAACACTAGCCTTTCTCTATTGTGATCTTTCCTTGTTTTAAGGCAAGGCAATTAAAGCATGAAAGATGAGAACTTTCTTTCTGTACTAGCAGCCAACCCTGATGGACTGAATAGGCAAATTATCATCAAAATGTACAACATACACAATCCATATAGCTGGAGCAAGTTTGAATGTTCTAATTGTATAAGCACATAGTGAAAATTCTAGACAGCAGCTATTTGCTCTGAGCACAGCACAAAAGAAGATATATCATTCAATCTAGTGACCATGTTCTAATAGAGAGGTGATATAAATCGACAGAGTGACTAAGGTTGTCGTTGAGCACAATACATTAGCGTGTTTGTGAGAGTTGGTTGGCGCTTCCCCTAAATACATATTGGGGACTGTAGAGAGACTTTTAAGAAACCTTATGCAACATAAAACCAATAGATGAAAATAGAAACAGAAGCAGCAGCAGCAGCAGCACGCATTCTCCAACCTCTGTAACTAGACTGGCAGACTTGAACTTCAATATGATCTCAAGTCTCTTCACTCACAGCCACAGAAGCATTCTGGTTTCAGAAACAGCAAAACCATTTTTTCTGCACATAATAGATGTATTAAGAATCAACCATTTAATCAGCCTGCATTAATTCTATACTGCAGTTGGAGTCTGCTATATGAACACGTTTCGTTAGAATGCTCAATACTTTGGTTATCTAACATCAGAAGTTCTTTACATTTTCTACTGACATAGAAATCTCTAACAAGATTAGAAAGACTCCTAACAAACATTGAACATGATATAAACTCTCCGACATGTATGAACCTTAATTATTTACCAGAATAGGTGTTCTCTAAATCTCACAACTCTTTCTACATAGACAGATAAGTCTCTAACCAAACTAACAAGGAGCTCCTGACAAATACAGAACCTAATGTAAGTCAACAACAAAATTTAGCTAGACCTTAACTCCAAGTAGTTAATATTGCATAGTGATTATTTGCAGATAAATGGGAAAGTAACATTCTTGAATGCTTGTAGCACAAACGAAGAAATATTAAGATTTAGTAGTCAGTGATCAATACCTTGGGTTCTTGCTGATAAGGATTAGATTGTCCGTAAGCATAGTCATTCCTGGGCGCTTGTGTTGGTGCCGCGGTGCCATTGGCCTTTTTGTCATCCCTAGCCTTTGCAAATATGACGGTGAATCCATCTGCTGAGGCTGGATTGTTTACATCCCACTCCCCGAATTTCGGCAATGGCCGACCTTTCTCTTGCTAGAAATGGTGTCATAACAGAGAAATGAAGACATGTAAGTTCGCCATAAGTAAATAAAGTTCTTACTTTATGTTCTGTTCTATACATGTGGTCATGTAATCTAACTTATTTGTATTGGGGTGTTTAGTATCTCAACTCTAAGAACACATGAATTTCTCTCAAATTTTCTATTTTTTAAGAAGAATGGACATCTTTCAACTACAACAATTACGCCTCAATCCCAATCGAATTTGGGTCGGCTATATGCATCATCACTAACCATACTGCTCAATATAAACTCGTCATTCTTCTATTGTTAGAATTCATCATAAATTTAACACTGGCCGTCAGCCTACCACAATGCTCCTCCTTTATTTGGACTCGAACCAGCAATACGAGCAAGCTCACACAGGCAAAGTAACAATCAAACATATTTACTAAACCTATAGGAAACAATTACAAACTAAAGATGCTCCATCTGGCATAAAAATTAAAATAAAAAAAATGCGTACAAGTAGTTGGTGAATCAAATTCAGCAAAAATGAGAGCAAACCAGAAAGTTGAATTGAAAATAAAAGCGAATAAGGTTGGTCAAAGCCATGCCATCTTTGATTCAGCATTAACAAAACAATCATATACATGCTGCAAAACAAATTAACTAAGATTTGTCTCAGAATCAAACAACTTTTAACGTTTAATTCATTCAAGGAGAAATGTGGGTCGGGGTTTTGGAATTTTATAAGGTTTCAAATTCTTGAATGTCGTTATAATTTCATCTTATTGGGATGACTATTCAATAGCCAATGACAAATTCAAGAACGTTCATATTCCTAGCAAACCAAAATTCATGCAAAAGAAAAAAATAAGAACTGAAAAAATTGGAAGAGAGAGAAGCTTACAGAATTCATGAATATGAGATTTTAGGTCCTGTAATTGAATGGATGAAAGGAATAAAAGAAAAAAACAGAGAGAAAGAGAATTATTAGAACGAGTCTTGTGGGAGAGACATGAAAAGGGGTGGGCATCAATTTGGAAATTAGTTGTTGCACCCATGACTCCCCCATCTTATATTTTAATATAGTTAAAAAAAAGTCATATACCCACAGATGGTCCACCCTGTTACATTATCTTTTTCCCATTTGAAAATTGCATTTCTTTTTTCTTTTTGCCCAAAAAAGATATATTTCAGAAATCAATTTTTTTTTTTTTTTAAAAAGGAGAGCAATATGTGTTTCTGGAGGCGTGTGGAAATTTTAATGGATTTTTTCCACTTTTAGTTCGCGCTAGAAATTATTTATATTCGGTAGCTGAAAAAGTATATAAAATTTGTTAATTTTTG